AAGCAGGTTTCATTGTCTTAACACCTAACAAATTAAAATACAAAAAAACTTTTGAGAATTACTTTGCAATTGAGCCGGTGTGTGTCAGGATGTTCTAGTGAGATGGGGCTGCAAATGAATTCACAAAATGGCAACACTGATTGCATTAACATATGGCACTGTAATATTACTCAATCGTAAATTGCAACAGGCAGTCTTTAATACAAATATTGGCACCAGTCAAAATTGACGGCTGGCATAAAATGCCATGTAACGAGATAAGGCTTTTAGATTCTGTTTCTGTTTTATGTTTTGTTTCGTATATTGCTTCTTCATCTTACAAATGATTAGAGGCATTCATCAGGTATTTTTCCCTATTAGCTAAACTGTTTCTAATTTTTCCTAAGATTTCTTGGGTTTTTCGTTCCTTGGAAAACATACCTATGGAGATATAGCAACTTACGATGATTCTCCTATACTTTTAACACTTGCTGTGATTTTACTAATATTAAGTGTTTGATTTCTGTTGTAAATAGCTGTGGGTTATTTTTACCAGAATGAACAAGTAATGCATTTATAAAAGAAGAAAGAAAGATATTAACTGGAGAAAAGTAGACAAGCCAGTTTTATATACATGTATATGTATAGTAACAGATTAACAGAGTTTGAAGGGACCTTGTTGGTCATCTAGTTCAACCCCTGCCCAAGCAGGAGACCCTACAGCATTTCTGACAGAGGTCAGTCCAGTCTCTTCTTGAAAGCTTCCAGTGATGAAGCTCCCACAACTTCTGAAGGCAACTTCTGTTCCACGGGTGGATTGCTCTCACTGTCAGAAAATTTCTCCTTATTTCCAGGTTGAATCTCTCCTTGATCAGTTTCTATCCATCCATTCCTTGTCTGGCCTTCAGGTGCTTTGGAAAATAGCTTGACCCCCTCCTCCTCTTTGTGGCAGCCCCTCAAATATTGGAATGTTCATGTATATCTATTTAAGTATGTATGTAGAAGGAGAGGACACAATTCAGGTTCGCAATACATGGGCTACAGTCTGGAGTCCTTGGTGTTCTCGGGGCTTGGTTGTTTGCTTGCAGGCGTTTCATTACCCAACTAGGTAACATCGTCAGTGCTAGTGAGTGGAGTGTGCAAAACCTCCTGAGCACTGATAATGTTATATACTCAGGTAATGAAATGTCTACAAGCAAACACCCAATCTTAGAGAGCCCCAAGGACCCTACAGTTCAACCTGAGCTACAAATATTCTGTTGCATGGGCTCTATTTTCTACCTCTTACCTTGTACCAGGGATGGGATTCTACCAGTTCGCACCTATTCGCTAGAACCGGTTGTTAACATTCTAAGCAGTTCGGAGAACTGGTTGTTATAAGAAATTACTGGCCTAATCCTGTAAGGAAGGCAGGAAGGAAACATTCTGGTGTTGCTTACAGAAACTGCCTCTCCGTTAACCCGTACTACATTCTTGGCAGGACTAGACTTCCTGTCTCAGGAACTTCTCTGGAGTTTTTTCCCCCTCCTTTGCTGGTACTTTGCTTGTGTGGAGTGACCATTCAAAGTCACAATGTCACTTGCAGCATCTCCACAGTCATGAGAGGCCAGGCAAGGAGATGCATGCCTCGATGTGAGTGGTATTGAGTTGGCTACGCCCGGCCAATAACATGACCACCAAGCTATGCCCACCAACTAAGCCACACCCACAGAACCGGTTGTTAAAAAAAATTGAATCCCACCCCTGCCTTGTACGTTTTAGGACTCAAGGAGAAGCATCATGGCCGTGAAATGTCCAGGAAAATATAAAACATGCTAACATTTTTCCCTTCAGAATCCTAATAGCTGCTTCGCCTTGACATTCCTGACACAGGCATCCAACCCTGTTCCATGCCAAGAACTGGGTTATTGTGGGCAGGCCATAGAACACAAAGGTAAGCCCCGAATGATACATCGTTGTGGTCTTCAACCTCATTGCAGGTCGTCCTCAACTTACAACCATTCATTTAGTGACCGCTTGAAGTTAGAACAGCACCCAAAAAAGTGGCTTAGGATTGCTTTCCCCACTTACGACTGTTGCAGCCAGATTCATTTAACGACTGGGTTACTAATGTAACAACGGTGGCAAGAAAGGTCATAAAATGGAACCAGACTCACTTAACAACTGTCTCGCATAGCAACATAAATGGGGGGGAGGGTTCAATTGTGGTCGTTAGTCCGAGGACTACCTGTAACTGTATCCTGTGTCGTCCTCACCCTCCCTGTGTGACAGTGATGTTTGCCTAACCTGTGTTGCTTTAACAACCTTCTCCTCTAAACAATGGAGAGGAGATAAATTGTGTAGGCAAAGAGCAGATATTCCGTACGGATACAGTATTTATGGAGCCCTAGTGGCGCAATGGTTAGAATGCAGAATTACAGGCTAACTATGCCCAATGTCAGGAGTTTGATCCTGACCGGCTCCAGGTGGACTCAGCCTTCCATCCTTCCGAGGTCAGTCAAATGAGGACCCAGATTGTTGGGGGCAATAGGCCGGGTATTTGTAAATCGCTTAGAGAGAGAGCTGTAAAGCACCGTGAAGCAGTACATACTGTAAGCCTTAAGTGCTGTTGTTATTGCTACTGTTGGCTAATGCATCCGTGCATTATCCAATCCCCATCCAGGTGCATGGCAGGCACACCTTGTTCGTTGCAGTTCATCCATTTCCCCCTCCCCTTGTGGGGCCGAAGCCGAGGGTGGATTGGGACACTTAGAGGACACTTGGCTGACACCACTGCACCGCTACTCGCACAGCTTCATAAAACACTTTTTATGCCTCCAGGTCCAAGTAGAGTTTGCTTATGACTCTCTCTTTCCATCTCTCCTGCTAATACAGGATGCCTCCCACAACGCCACCACCCCTTCTATGGTGACCGCCAGCCCCGCTACCAGCAGCGACGACCAGCATGCTTCCAATTTTTTTTTTCTAGCCTGGGGAATGCTAAGCAATTCCACCCCCCACCCCATGCGAGGCTCCTGCCTTTCCGCAAGCTGCACGATAGATAATGATCGAGCAGCAGAAAGAGTTTCCCAACAGGGAGTTCGCGCACGAGAAACACAGCAGCTGCTACTCTGTCACCTGTGTCACTGTTTTCCAAAACACAAGTGCCTGGCTGGAGTGAATAACTGGCACTTCTACGTGTGTGTGTGTGTGTGTGTGTGTCTGCCACTGCCTTCGAAGATCTCGTCTACTTCTGAGTGTGGCTCTTGGAGGGGGCTTTGATTACTTTAATGGTTCTAATGGATTTATTTTTTTACAACTCTGTATATCTGATGTGGTAATTTAAAATACAGTAGCATTTTGTCAGCCTCCTCTCCTGATACTCAAGCTGAGTGTAATTATTATCCCTTGTATTGTGTCAGAACCCTCTTGAAAATCAAACAATAAATCTAATTACTAATACGCACAGTGACGTAGCTGTATGTCTACAGTGTGACACGTTTCTTTTTCCGTCAGCCTGGCAGCAACTTGTTTCACTTAATGTCAAGAGGGAGGTGAAAAGGTGGGATAGGGACAATACGCTTAGGGCATTAATACCAGTGGTGGGATTCAAAATCGGCCGAATCGGTTCAACTACCAGTTCTGTGGACGTGGCTTAGCGGGCGTGGTGTGGCTTGGTGAGCGTGGCAGGGGAAGGTCATTGCAAAATCCCCATTCCCTCCCCACCCCACTAACCTGCTTTCCAGCTCCGTTCTCCTGTGCAGGGCAACCAAAGAAGACCCAGCCGATCAGCTGGGACTCAGGAGGCGGAGACTAGATGGGGGCGGGGCCAGTCAGAGGTGGGATTTGCCGGTTCTCCAAACTACTCAAAATTTCCGCTACCGGTTCTCCAGAACTGGTCAGAACCTGCTGAATGCCACCTCTGATTAATACCACCTTGACTGCCCAGGTTTCCTAGGAAGAAACATTTTGTTAGGGTACGCATATAAGATGAAGAATGTTGCCAGGAATTAACCGCTATGCCATTGCCAAAATATAACAGTAACAGTATAACAGAGTTGAAGAGACATCTAGTCCCACCCCCTTCCCAAGCAGGAGACCCTATACCAGGGATGTCAAACTCCCGGCCTGGTGGGCCAGGTGCGTCACACGCTGGCCACCCCCACGCCCGGTTTAGCGAAGGGGGAAAAAAGTCGCGATACGTCACGTGACAACGCAAGTGTGACGCTCCTGCCCTAGACCATTCTGGACAAACGGTTGTTCAGCCTCTTCCTGAAAACCTCCAGTGATGGAGCACCCACAACTCCTGAAGGCAAAGCTTCCACTGGTTAATTGCTCTCACCGTGAGTAAATTTCTCCTTCGCTCTAGGTTGGATCTCTGTTTGATAAGCTTCCATCCATTATTTCTTGGCTTGTCCCTCAGGTGCATTGGAGAATAGACCAACCCTTTCCTCTCTGTGTCAGCCCCTCAAATATTGCAAGATTGCTATCAAATCACCTCTAGTCCTTCTGTTTGTTAGGCATATCCGATTCTTGCAACAAGATACATTTCAGCAATTTCTTCCCATCATGAGTTTGTACACTATTTCTAGATTTCTAGGATGTAATATTCGACCAACCCCAAATCAAGATTTCTCCTTTAAATCTTCTGCCCCTGCTATGTTTAGTGGTCTATGATTTGGGTACAAGGGACCTAGTGCAGAGGCATATATTTCGCGATGTAGCAGATTCCTAGCTTTTTCTGCGACCTAATGTTTGGTAACCTCTTGTGGCATCAGCAATTGAATGGAGCATAACATTTAAAAAGAATAGTCACAAACATGGCCAATGAGAATTCTCAAAGTGAGAACCTAAGTTCCTTCCCTTGTTTTTTGCTTATTGAACCTACTATTTTGCTACTTGAACCTGCTATTTTCAGCATTTTTGGTTGCCTATATAATGGAGTCTTTTGGTTACGTTGCCAAACACATCTCTACTCCTAGCTAAGTCGTGAGTGAGTTGTTTGGACATTGAGTGCATGAATCTAGACCTCATGAGTTCTTAGATGCTTGACTGTATTTCCTATTTTCACTGGTCGTGGAATTTATTATCTGCTGTAATATATGAAAGCAAACTGCCGTACATACACAGGCCTTTATATAAAATAAAAAAATCTTGCTAAAATCGGAATTCCAAATAAATATTGATGTTTAGTAGTGCCAATGAGAATGACAATGAACAGGACAGTTTCAAAAAGTGGGAAGAAAAATATTTAAAAGCAGATGCTAGAGTGAAATGAAATGAAAATTCTTTATATAGATAAATGTGATCATAAAAACATTATTCCTGTTCCAGAGCTTGTTTATATTATTTTAACCATGTTACATGTTATAGGTCTCTAGGCTACTGAGAGAAAGAGAGAATTATGACTGAAGGCCATATTATTGTAGTAGGCCAACAAATAATTTTTCAACCACATGCCTAAAAGAATTTGTAATTTCTTGATAGGGAAGCCAAACGGAACAGAAAGATGCTAGATAATACATTTTGAAAGCTGTAGAGTATACTTGGAAATCACATTTGTTTTCCATACCTTATTATAATCTGTTAGATATGCTTTTAATATATTTCAAATATTCTGCTGAGGACCCTTTACCAAAGGCATGGTTAAAATCCAGATACACTTAACTTTGGTGCCAAATGCTTCTCCCCAGTCCCTTAAAAGCAACTAAATAATAAGTTACGTTAAAGAAAACCTCTGTTAGTATTCACAAACACCCGTGTGTCAAATTAACAGGACTTTTTGACAACACAGTATCCTGCAACATGTTGACCTCCACCTCCAACATATTAAGGAAAACAGTGCTCGAGTTAACTTTTTTTTCTCCTCCCACTCTTGCTAAAGCAAGGCCACAGTTGCGTCTCCAGCCAAAAGCTACATTAGCATGCTTTTTACACTATGCCTCTGTGTCTTGATTAAGTGTGTGATGAGTTGTATTTCATGCATTCTAACAACATGATTGAAAACAGTTTACTCTCACAATGCTAGTTGCATAAAAGAATGATACAATACAGAGTTGTTAATCAGACGATTTTCACACTAATGTGTCTGATGGAGGACATTTTTTTTTGTAATTGGGGAATGCACTTTTACCTGGAAATCAGTCCTACAAAAATATCATACATAGAATTGTATTATACATAAGTATACACATTAGTATTATTATCATAGTTGTTGTTATTATTACTGTTATTATTAGCACTATCAGCATTATAATTACTATATTGTAGAAGTAAATTGATCCAGACAATACACTGTTTATTAAGCACTTACGTACTTTAAATTTAGACAAAATGTATAAATAAAATTTAAAAAGTAATAATAATACTTTGAGCAAACATATTTAGTGATAAATTGAATCCTCGGTCTCTCAGGAACTGGAGATAATCCTTAATAAAAAGAGTATAAAAACTTAACCTTAAAAGAAAGACACAGAAAAGTAAGACGGCACAAGAACGTGTAGGAGTTCTGTTCAAATTAAGAAAACTTAGGTAGAGTTCTGTGCTATCAGGCTTTTGAGCAAGGAGAAAGTTCATTTTAACCATATTTTTGCCTTCCTAAAATCTCCTTAATATATAGTATCTCTATCCCCTCAGAGATATCTTTAAAGCAATAGGTTTTCCGCCTTTTACAAGATTAGGATACAGTAATGTAGGATTCTGATGATATTGTATAGATGTATGAAGTAGTAACAGCCAAGAAACTTTCCTGGGATCCCATGATACAGAGCGAGATCGCGTTTTAGTAGAAAGTAGATCGTGCAGAAAGCTTTAATTTCTAAGGAGTTTCAGGGAACTTACAGCCTTTAAAAGAAGGAACAAATTGGATAAGAAAATGAGAGCGCAGCTAAACCAATCTTGATTCCTTGAACATATAGTCGTAGCTTGAAGCATAATAAGCATACATTAAATATC